GTCATCATCTTCATCCATCTCAACATACCCACTATCCAACATGCTAGACTGTGAAATTGAAGGTTGGAGCATACTTACCTTTTCGGATGTGTTTTGCAGTTTTCCGGCATTCCAGACAAGAAAAGGGTAATCTTCTCGCTGCTAAAAATCACTGTATAATAGACAAATGCCTTGTGGATCAACCAATTTCACCTCTTCAACTGCGCGATGAACCAAGTGCTTGCAAATGAGGAAACGACTACAAAGAAATGACGGGCAGCTACATATCCAACAATCCAAGTCAATAAAGTAACGTTTCTCGTATTCATCAGTGATCAGTTTTGCGATGAGCTGCTTCCAATCACTCTTGAACTCATCGAACCAAGAAGATGCCGTTCGTCTTAAGCGCATTTGATTGAGACGAGTGATCTGGTCAGGAAGGATACGCGTACAAATGATCCATACGAGATAATCCAATCATGGCTGGTTAAATCTGGAAAGATAACAATGTTTAACGACCCTCCAATGCGCTTCAATAGGCATGTTCATTTTGCCAAGCAGAATCATCATTCATGTTGATCGAGCTCAGAGTATTCACTTTGGCATCTTATACCAAGCAGACTACAAGTATGCCCAGAGCAAAACAAGGTCATTTTCAGCTCAAAAATCATACATTTCATGGATTGCACTCTTTCAGATTTCGTCAGCTATTAGGAATCATCCAGCAGTATTGATAGGGATTTTTGAGTGCATATTAAAATGCTTTCTGATGAGATTGATAATTTTATCTCACAAATTCGGTGAGCATATTATGTAGTACTCAGGTTCAATACGTTCCAGATCAGGCTTGAAAGTGGGATCAATAAAATCAAACTCTGTTACAGCTTCATCTGATTGGTATTGATTGCGATGAATTCGCTTGCGACTCTTAAGCTTTTCCTTGATAGTCTTCTCAATATGTCACAAACAAAGCTGTATATTAGCATTGGGTCACACTTCTTTCTCGACATTAATTTCTGCAAAGTCTTTATCGGTGTAAAAGTATTGTGATTGCAATCTCTTGTCGCAGAGAGAACGAAGGAAGCCAGCAAGTGCCGTTGTTCGTAACCACATTTGTTCTTCATTGTTTGGCACCTTCGTAGTGTTCAAAATGAGATATGCTACTGGAAATCCTGCACCCTCAATGTTACCAATAATCCTGTAGAGTTCGAAGCATCCTTTGGCTGTTTTGTAAGTTGCGTCACAATGTACACTTGACAATGGTAATAGTCCAGCTAATAAAGGGGTTGTGAATCCAATTGCTGTAACCAAGTCAGTATTCCAATCAAAACAAAACTCACTGGCAACAGTATAGGACCCTTTCAAAAAGTGACGCGCAGAAACTACATGATCTTCATTTGATTTATAAAAGCGCTGGCAAGATGTTGACCACCAATAGTAAATTTGTTTCGCAGTGACAAGCGAAACATCAAACA